CTTTGGCTTTGTGAGCATGAACTCCTCATTTGAGTAAGCACTTTTAACACATATCCCTGTTCCTAAAGACCAGCCTAAAACAAAATGAAGTCTCAAATGTACATTGTTTTCAAAGTCAGTAACATTTTAAGTTAAGTGACTGATGTTTACTATGTGATAGTGGTGTAACTAATTTGCAAAACCTAATAGGTAATATTGGCTCCATATTTGATTGACTCAAAATTTATGAACCAGTTCAATAAGTATATGTATAATGAAGACTCAACCCTATTTGATTCCTTTTCTCAAAAAAGTTATCTCTTAACAAATTCTATTCCATTTGGCCTTGTTTTAATTATGTTCAGTTGTGGTGGTTTGAATTAATGTGTAAAGAGACTGGGTATAAGCAATATGTATTGTGTTTCTGCCAGGGATACAGGCAGATTCTTGCTTGGGTTCTTGATGGTTCTTTGTTAGTTTTGTGGCTCTCTTTCTCCAATAGACACCTGAGACTTCAGATAATATCAAACTGTATCTATAGTTTGCTTGTTCCTATATAAACATATTTATGGTAAGGTTTTAATATATTAGGTACAGGATGAGATTAACAACAAATAATAAAATAGAAATTATAACAATATGCTGCAGTAAAAGTGTTACTTTAACCTTTTCACTTTAAAGGAAGTAATTTATGGCTTCTTTTTCCACATATCTGAATTGCTAACATTACTACTTTTGCAACTTGAGGTCTTTTTTTCAGTTAAAATAAGTGATACTTGAACACAAGCCCTGCAATACCAGGACAGTCACTCAGGTAACCCCGAATGACATGGGTTACCAAGTGGCTGATGCTAACGCATGCATCACATACATTGTGGGGTGACATGTCCCAGACAGGAAGGAACAGGAATACTTGAGATTTAGTGATGCTTCTTAAAATAGAACATAATTTAAAACAGGTAGTTTATCTCTGGCATCTTCCTGTTAATATTTTTGTGGCAGACAGCAAGTGACTGAAAATTCAAGGTAAAACTGTAGATCTGTATGTATATATACCCCTGCAAGTCCTGTATTGGAATCCTGTTTTTGCCTGCTTCCTCAGATAAGTATGAAACTTTATTTGGAAGTCCCTTAAATTATGTATAATGAAATGATTTTGAATGTAAAAGTTCATGAACCGTAAAGAATATGATTGGCTCATCATCCTGAGTGCTACAGTCAACCAAGATGCCAGGCATAGTGGCACACACTTGTAATCCCAGCACTCAGTAGGCTGAGGCAGGAGCATAATCATGAGTTTGAAGCCAGCCTGGGCTACACAGCAAGTTCAAGGCCAAAAAACCAAAAATAAATAAATCTATTCATAAAAAAACTAGATGTTTAATGAAGGTTATCTAAAAACAATAAATTATCTGACAAATAGGAAAGATTGACACGGTATCTCCTAAGATAGAATTTCATTTAAAGACTGGAATCCTCCATTGAAAAGGTCCTGATAATGTATTTTAGGAACAAAGGCAGGCAACACATTGGTGGGTTTCTGTATCCCTGTGTCTTACAACTGAAATCCTGCCACTATTATATATTTGCTTTGAGTAAATTGCAAATGATCTCATTTCTATGATTTGAAGACTATTTCTTGTGAAATTACTTCAGAGTTTTCCAAACAAAATATTTTTAAAGAATAACAAGTGATATTTTAAATTTAAAAAGACTTGGAGGAAAAAACAGTTGAGAAATACTGAGTATGAAAGATGAAGTGGTCTCTTCATCTCAGGGCTTCTCTGAATCATCAGAATGGTCCTATGTACTGAGAATTATCAAAGATAGAGTTTTCCTTACTTTGCTATGGCTTCTTGGGTAGAGTATCATGAAACAGGAATTCTGTTGTACAATCGGCTCTGTATAGATGAGGCCTATATCTCAGATTTAACCATGAATAGAAAATATTTGGGAAAAAACTGAATTTGATTACTTTTGGAAGTGTGGCCATTTTAACAACATTAATTATCCCAACCCATGGACATGGGAGAATTTTTTTTCATCCATTTTTTTCAAATTCTTTATTTTGTCTTGTATGTTTCATTGTAGAGGAAACTTACGTCCTTGATTAGGTTTATTCTTATGTATTTTATTTTTTAAGTCTCTTGTAAACTGGTCGTTTTCCTGATTTCTTTCTGAGAAAATTCATTATTGTTCTGGGGAAAACAATATTTTGTTGATTGACTTTGTATCCTACTAATTTGCTGAATTTGCTTATCAGTTATGAGAGACTTTCGGTGGACTCTAGGATTTTCTAGGTATAGAATCACATCATCCACAAACAGGAATAACTTAACTTACTTCTCTCCTATTTATATCCACTTTAATTCTATTATTTGTTTGCTCTGGCTAATTTTCAGTACACTAAATAAGAATAGTGAAAGTAGAAGCCCTTGTCTCATTCTTAGCATTTTCCCATTCAGTATGTTGCCGCCTATGGGTTTTTATATGTAACCTTCATATGTTTAGGTATGATTGTCCTCTAACCTAGTTTATTCAAGATTTTATTATGAAAGTTGTTGAATTTTTTTCTCCACAGATTAAAATTATCATATGGTTTTTATTCTTAACTCTATTTGTGTAGTGAATTATATTTATTAAATTGGGTATGTTGAACCATTCCTTTATCACTAGGGTAAAGCCTACTTAATTGTAGTGCACAGTATTTTTAATGCAATGTGGAATTCTATTTATTTATTTATTGCGGTACTGGGGATCAAACTCATGACCTCACACTTGCCAGGCAGGAGCTTACACCACCACTGAGCTAAATCCTCGGCCCTGGAATTCTGTTTACAAGTATTTGTTTTGAGGATTTTGCATCTATGTTCATCAAGAATATTAGTTTACTATGCCATTTTATATACATCTGCAATTTGATATCCAAGGAAGATCCTGAAACAAATCCTCCACAGATATAGAAAGGTAACTACATGTTTTAGGAACTCAGTATTTTCCAGGAGTATACAAATGCTGTTTTACTCATTCCCGTTAAAGAAGGATACTAATGCTTTATTTAAATGTAAGCTGAAGATCACTATGATGAAAGTGACTTATTCAAACTAAATATTAATTCTCTAGTATCTATAGCAAGGATTTGAAATACCATATAGGTAAATGAGTAACACAAAAGCAGGCAAATTTTCTGACAAAAAGGTAAGCTCTGACTATATCTGTGATTAGTGAGCTAATAAGGATCACTGAAACACTGAATAATTGTGAGACAAAGGAAATCATCTTTTTGCATTAGAAACAAAGGGCTAGTTAGACATTCTGCCTTGAGAAGGCACGGAAAGCCAGAAGGTAGCGGTTTCAGGTATCACTGATGTTCTACAAGTGATACCCAGCCACAGCCTACATTTTGTTTTACCTGAAGGAGCTCCTTAAAGGTAAACTGTTTTCATAAATTCACTTCATTATTTTCATAGTATGCTACCTGTTTGCTCTCATAGTTACCAGCAGTCAGGCTAATTTTGTACAAGTATAAATAAGAATTACTATGGCAGCAGTGTTTCTCTTTATACGATTAACTTGCAGCCCTTAAATGTATTTTCATATGCATTCTTTAAATGCCAATGATAGCATCATCTTTTGTTTTGTGTCCTCAGAAGTAGCTAGTTGTAGTAAAAGTTACGATTCACTCATATGTAGTGGGATTCACGTATAATGGTATCTATTTTAAAGTATCAACTAGATTTATGTTCACCCTAGACAAGCTCCAAATCACATTCTTATACAGTTTATTAATGCAAGGGGCAATTAAGACCACCAACCATATATATAATGTTTTAACTGAAAATGAAATTTAGATCATTTATTTATATGTAAAAACAAATGACCACTACAGACACTTAAAAATCATTTATTCAAGGCATTTTAATATAATCTTGCAATTACAGTATAGTCATATAATAAAATATGAATAAAAGAAGAGGAAAATGCAGAGAAGAATAAAGCCAGTGTCTGGGCATTTAAAATAAAAGCTCTTCATAAAAGTTACATGTTTTACAAACAGGATTACAGAAAAATTTAGGAGAAACTAAAATTGCCTTAAAAATATTATGCTACCAAATGACAGTTGTATGTTAACTATATATATCCCATGAGCTAACGTTTAATGCATTTTACATTCAAGTTGAAATAAGTCAGCACCATTTTAGCTCAAAGGACGATGCAATGCTTTGAACATTCAGAAGTGGCCGAGAACTTTTGGTACCTGGGAATGAAAACTTAACTTGTAGATGAAATATATTGATTGTGAATATGAATCAAAAAATAAAAAATATAGAAAAAGGATACTTTTAATCCTGTAATATAGTTTCAAAGCAAATTTCTTAGAAACAAAATATCTCATGACCAGAATTTCAATCTAAAACTTCTCAGTATGAGGAAAACCTTACTAAACTGTTTCTTCTAAAATTTGAGTGTCTAGAATGTTTATAAATGTCTAACTATCATATGGGATTTCAAAGAGCAAAATGTTATTACAAATAATTCCTTGTGAATAATTAGATAGAAATTGTAAATAAAATTATATAAAAATATGAAGATTTCTGGAAATAGGCAAGTTGCATATTCATACATGTATGGTTCTTTTGGGAGACTGACTGAGTCTCAAAGGCCAAGAAGTCTTCAAGCCAGACTGTGGACTGAATAATCATGAAACCACTCATGGGGCAGGTAGTGAGCTTAAGCAATTCTTTTCTACTTGTTCCCAGTCACTATCATATAAAAGCTAGTCTGTCCTCAGTAGTCCAGGTTCTTCATACTGTTTCTACATCCTTAGTTTAGTAGGACTGAATTTTGTTCTTTGTTATTAATTGATAACCTTCACCAGCTAATCATTATCTGTGTTTTGATACTTATTCAAAGACCTTTTAAGGTTCAAAACTACCGAATATTAAATCATCAGTTATGAGTTAATTGTAAGTGTTTAAGAATGATGGGGAAGGGAAGGAACATGGACAAAAGAAATAAACAAGAATCTTTAGGTTCCTAATGAAAAAAATTTTTTGCAAAATAAACCAAATAATAAATGTTATATTTAATAAACAGACATTGCAGGGATTTGAAATACTTTAATTAGAAATACATATGTTCATGTAATTAACCTTTTTTATAAATTAAAAATGGTCATGAAAAATAATAGTGGTTACAATTGAAGTTGTATGGACATGTACTTTTAGTTATTAAAAAATAAGATGAACCTAATGGGTAATAATGACATCTTTCATACTTATTGAAGTTAATGTTTTGTATGTCGCAATGCCTAGCACATGAGTGCCTGGCTTATATTAGGTCTTCAAATGATGGTTGACAGATAAACACACACAAAAAAAGACCTTGTTGAGATTTCTATGTGTTTTCTCTTATATCTAAAGGTCTTATATTGGCTAGTTTTTGAAGCAGTCTTTTAGACAACAGATGTTAAATCTAGAGATGCCAGTCTGGCTCAGTATTAATACTGATAGTAGTTTTAGGTTTTTGTTTTGTTTTGCTTTGTTTTTTAAGCAAGTATATCAAAATACATTTATTAGAAAAGGTTACAATTTTAAAGAGTCATTCTACAATCTTAAACTACAAAGCACTTTAAGGCAAAGAAAGGGTCCCATAGCTCAGATGCTAGCTCAATGAAAAGTTCCAGCTGGATTTATTGGTAAGTGTGTGGGAGCAAATAAGGGCCACGGGTATCACCCCACCCACCCTGATAACTATCTCTTGACCATCTTTTATCCCTTTTTATCATGCTATGCACCCAGTAAGTGCAAAAGTATTAATAGTTGATGTTGGCTTTACAAATCTGTGACACAGAAGACAGGATGCCAACTCACATTTAAAATTTTACCTAGTATGTTCTGACACTGCAAATACTTTGCTTGAGATTTTAATACTTGTTAAATGTAGAAAAACTCCTGCCTAAGCGCCACTAAATTAAGAGTCTAATTCGATTTCTTTCTGTATCTTTGAATTCAAGAAAAAGATTTTCCAAATTCTGTTGTTGCACATAGTTTCACAGTTTAAAACAAAATCACAGCTGTCTCCATCTGAATTATAGTCCTTGATTTTACAGAAAGTACTTTCTTCTCGCTTACCAACCCAAAGATGCAATACTTACTAGCTGATAATTTGGACTATATGTCAGACATATATACACACACAAAAACATGCATGATCAATTCCTGAAGAGGCTAGGATGATATTCCTGTGTTCTACACATACTGTTGTCATCTATAATGAATAATTTAAAAATTTTAGCAGCCATTTAGCTAAACAGTTTTTAAAAATAAGAGAATTGAAGATCTTGACATGTGTTCTATTTTCTTTTAAGTATTTGAGAGACAATGTGGTTTTGGTGATTTTTTGGTATGATTTTTATGTCATCAAGGAGATTTTACTTTTGACTAACACTTCAAATATTCTTAAATGTGTATTATTTCTGAATGTATCACATCTGTCACAGAATGACTTTCCAGTTACCAAGGTGTCCCTATATATCTAGTTCCCAGAATGATAATTTTAAGAATGTCACTTGAAATGTCTCTGCGTATAGAAAAAAATAAGAGTAGAGGGGGCACATCACTAAGTATAAGACAGGAATTGGACAGCTCAATTACCTAATTCATTCCAAATAAAAGTTGACTCAAGTGAAAATGAAATTATGCACTTGACAGAAAGTTATCTACTGATTTAGAAAATGTAAACATAATTTTTATACAGGGATATAACTATCTGAATACATATATTGCTATTTCTTTGCTAAACAATATTTCTTGACACCAATATTTTTTGACACCAATATTTCTTGATATGGTTGTTCCTTCCACAGCACCAAATGTGTCCATATCTATTTAAACAGTAGGAGCATCATTTCTAAATTAATTTACACTAAAACACATATAAGCACATTATTATTACGTTGCACAGAAGTCTCGATACTTTAGAAAATAATCAGTTCAAAGTAATTTTGGCTCATTCATTAAAGTATTATTTTCTATTTTCTATTATAATTCCAAGGAAGCATATAAAGTTTGAATTTCTCTGAAAGAGCCAAGCATGTAACTACAGAATTAAAACACTGTGTTAATTCACAAAGTAATGTGAATAAATAGTAAAAACATCCCAAATAGTGCTGATTTAACCATTCAAAATCCAGTTATGTGCTTCATGATAAAATAGTCCAAACAAAAACTCCTTTCTTGTTTTCTGTGTTCTTTTTCAAAATATGTTAATCCTACTGAAGCTAATCTATTTTTTTTTTCACTTCAGAACACCAGGCACTGATTTATCCATTGAAGCTGGGCTTGTTTTCTAATACCTAGATTAAGAAAACAAAATATAACAAGTTATTAACCCAACAATATTATGAATGAGTACAGTAGATAAATTTTAAGTTAACCTTTAAAAAGTTTTTATGTAGCAATTTCTCTCCACTTGAAGAATAATCCCCTGGTGAAATTACCGTTAGTGAATGATTTGATGAAAGCAACTGTGTTAAAAGCAGAGACTATATGGCTAATGTCTTAATCTTGACACTTATAGTCCAAGGTACAACTTCTGAAATGATCAAAAGTGAAGCAGGACTGATGAAACCAGCACCGTGACCAAGTGAGTTCATTCAAAGTGTTATGGTTTGGTGTCTAGATGTCTCCCCTGCCAAAATCTAATGTAATCTTGGGGGTAAGCTTCTAGAGTTTGTGACTGATTCACGTTCCAATGCAGGATTAAGGGTGTGAGTTCTATACCTACTTTAGGGAAGGCACCCAGCATATAATGTAATGGACAGAAAGAGGTTTGCTCTCCCTCCTCTCTCAGTGTGCTTGGTATCATCCACAACCATGAACAGTCACCTCTTTGCAATGAGCCACCCAACACTGGAACTAGCTGAGTATGAGTTGAAACTTCCACAAACTGTGAGCTAAATAAACTTTTCCTCTTTAAACTTTCGATGTCAGGTATTCTGTCCCAGCAACAAGAAAAATAACTATACTACAGTACAAATGTGGCACATCCACTAAGAGGCAGAGGAGAGAAATGGCTTCTGTATCTTCTTGCATCAGCCTTCCTCCTGTATGATTTCAGATGGAGACTGGGCCAGGACAAACTATCAAATATTGTTGTATTTAAATTTTGATCACAGATCCCCTAAGAAGAAAAAAGAATGCACTGAAGTCCAAATCATAAACTATCAACTTCCAAAAGAGTTAGTTCTGTAAGAAGAGAACTTAGAGTATTTTAGAATTGAAAGAGGCTTTAATTCATCTTGTCCACACACTTTGTTTACAGTGAGGAAAATGAGGGAGACAGGATATATCAATGGCATATGCTGACTTTCTGGGTGGTTTTTGCCTATCAGGGTGAAATGCTCTCAAATATCTTGGCCTCAAAAAAACCAGGAAACTGACAGTGATGTGTCAATAGAGTGATGGGAGTACCATGTCATTTGAGTGGAATGAAAGAGTGAGAAAGACAGGGAGGGGAGCAGAAGAACAAAAGAATGGAAAAGCCATGACAAATAAAAGACAATAATGTTTGCTCAGAAATCTTCAAAGACTTCCCATAGCCTCCAGGATGAGAAACTTTTTATCAACTTGCAGTTGATAGTTTCTATCCTTTCTGCCTACCTATGAACTCCATGAAACATATGCTAAGCCAAACCAGATTCTGTCATTGCCCATGACATTGGTTCTTAGTAATATGCCCTTCCTTACCAGTCCAGAGTACAGTCCTCAGCCTTCATGGCCCAATCCAAATGCTATACTAACGTCACCCATAAATCTCAACCCAAAGAAACTGCTCCCTCCTCTGACCTCTAGCAAGGGAGACCTGAGATGAAAATCAAACTATCATTTTCTTGAATAAGAGTTTTTGTTTTATTTTGCTTTGCTTTGTTTTTTACTTTTTCTCAGGTCAAAGGCTTTGCATTTTTCTCATTATTTCCTACTCACAGGATACAAATGATCTTATACGTGACAATCATTAACTACATTTTCTCTTCATATTTTTATATGCTCCATACTACTTATTAAAATTTCACCTTGACCAGTCTTGCAGTTTAGTTGCAGTCAGTGACAGCTGGTAAATTAATCAATTCTACATAAGTGGCCACAGCCAGAATCCCTCTTGTACAGTCGCAATCTTGTTGGATTAATATAGCAGTATTTTTATTCTAAATATTTGGAAATATCTAGTTTATTAGGTTCTACTCAAAGTTAAGACACATTCCATGTAAGAAGACTCATCTCTCAAGACCTGTTGCTAGTACAATGTCAGTAGTCATATTTCAGAGTCACTAAAGTTACAGCAGAAATCCTTCTAACCTCACTGGATTTTGATTTACCCTCATGGAAGTTTTCTTAATGCATCTCTTACATTGGGGGGTGTGTGTGTGTGTGTGTATCTGTGTGTGTGTGTGTTTGTATTGCTCCCTCTATTCTAGCCTAAATTCCTTAAGGGACAGAATATGCTACCTATGAAGTAACTGGTGCACAGTAAGCAGCAAGGTGGCAGGCCTGTACCCGGCAATGGGTATGCAGTGTTAGAGCAGAAGTTACCTCCCAGGCACTGTGGAGTGCAGCAGGAGACAGTGTTTAGCAAAGAGATTCATCAGCAATCAACTGGAATTACCGTCGAAAGACTACAAAGAAGCGGTGTAGGGGGTTAGGATTTACATATATTTGAATTCCTCTCTAGGACCTTAAGAAACAGCAAAAGTTAGAGCAAGTGAATAAATAAATGAGTAAATAAACTATGGAATTATGCAATGAAGAGAAATTAGTGAAGATGTAAATTGTTTTAGATTATGTTACACTGACCTTCTGAGGGCTTTGGCTAGACTCTGACCCACTCTACACTCTAGCCATAGAACTGGCCAGGTTTCCCATGTGTCTGCGTCCAGAAAACTGTATCTGATTATATTTTTCAGTGTCATCTCTTTGCTGGCATGGGCTTCATCTGTCTCAAATGATGTGGTGATAGTTATAAAGTACAGCTCTGCTCTTTATGTGAGGAGGAAAAAGGGGCCCTCTAGGAGGTGAGTGCAGCCTTAGCCACGGTCGCAGCCCCAGCCCTGGCCCTGGCCTCAGCGCATGGTTGTGTGGATGCAGCTCACTGTTGCTGGGCTCCACTTTCCCCACGGCCAGGAGCCCAGGGGTGCAGCAGAGCCTGGTGAGCCAGATTTAGGTGGACCTGGCAAACTGGAAACTGCAGATGCAGGCATGTAAAATGCCTACCCCAGTTTTTGTGTTTCCATTGACTGACTTTCTTTGGTAGCTGTGTTATACTGTTTGTATAACCCAGAAGCATTAGTGTCTCTCCATCAAAGCAAAGCTGATCTGCACCCAGTAACACTCTAATGGTCTTCTCATTTTCATGCAGGTGTCATTCAGGAGGAATATAGAGCAAGGATCTGTTCTGTAACAGCAACAAAGCAGGCAGTGTTTATGGGGTGACCCAAGACAGTTGGGCATGCAGCAAACCTGCCTAACTTCCATTAATTGTTTTTATCAAAGTACCTTCTGATTAATATTTATGGAATTTCTTCTAAGATTTCGTTCAAAAAAATTTCAGGATCAAGGAAATTATAAAGGAATTTCTACATATCCTTTCCTTTTTTGTATGTTTCCTTAGTAGCTGTGGTTCTAGAAGTCAAATACGTGAAATCTGCATTTCTACACAACAGGAGATCTCCCTTCAGTTACATACTTTATAGAGTGATTTTCAAAATGTGCTTTAAAGAACTCTAAGAATTTCTTCAGTGCTCCTTTCTGGGCGGGTAGGGAAGAGGTCGCCAGAAAGCCAATTTCTGGATTCCCACAAGCTAACTCGTGCTGCATGTTGGGCAATCTGACATGCTGGCGTCCACACAAGTTTTTCTGATAAACACTGCATTCTGTGTATATGCCTTATCTTGAAAACTAAGCTTTAGGATTATTAAACCCTTGGTATATCTCTTTGCTCTAGCATTATTTAAAAAGCAAAAAAGACCAGCTTTTTGATAGTGTAGACTCTATGTAGCACTTTTTACCTCTGGCTTAGTTACATGGAAGCTATAGTAGTAGAAACAGACTAGTATCATGTAAAATGCCTGTCTAGGAATGAGAATTCTTTATAAAGAAAATTGCTTATCTAGGCAAATAAACTTACGGTGAAATTGTGCAGCCTGAGGCATATGCATGATGTCCTGTGTACCGAATATCACAACGCACAACGTTGTTGTTGTAGTCTGATTCAGGCACCAAGTAGCTGGGGTTGACACTGACCTGAGTGGGATAAACAGCTTCTGTGTTAAAGCTTTCACCATATGGTGCACTGGCTATTTTCCATTTCCAAAGGGCTATCACAAGGGAATTATTAACAAGAGATTTAGCCAAATCAGGCAGGGAAGGGACAGTAAGTTAAGCAAGTGGTTAAACTCTGTCTAGAAACATTATAGAAACTGTAATTTTCCCTGAATTTACTTAAGACACAAGTATGTTTATATAGTTGGAAAGATCATTGTGAAGGATATACAGTTACTCCCAGAACATGATTATTGAACCTTTGAATCCAGAGAAGAGGCCTTATAGATTTGCAATGAAATAATTACACATTTTTAAAGATCTCTACCTTGAGAATGTAGTTTCCAGGTTGTACATCTGTAATGTCAATCCACTGGCAATCTATGTCTGCTGCATAAGTATCATAGCAGCCAGGACTCAACCCCTAAAACAAATAAACAAAATGTTTAAAACTTTTATACATGGTCAGACTATGCTAAAGAACATGCTATTATTTGCAAATTAAAAGTTAATACCTAAAAGAGTTTGACATAAAACTATACTTACATTTCATCTCCCTTGGAAAGTATAAATTACTCAGTTTTAAGCACCTCTAGCTTAAAAAGATACAGGACTAAAACCAGCATTAGCATACCTTGCTTCTCAAAAGTGTTAAAAGATCACTAATGATAAACCTAATGTTAACAGACAAAAGAGGCTTCCCCCAAAAGTCTAGAATGTTATTGGTTCAGGAATAGAGTCATTTAATAATTAGCTCAAATGCCTTACTTTCACCAATTTTCCCCTTTTAAAAATTAAGTTCTTGTACTATGAATGCTATGATTATTTTTACACTAGATTTATAGATTTATACTACTTACTCATTTCTACTCTACATTCCAACTACATTACTGTTGTGGTTGATACATTGTATCAATTTGAGTTTAGAAGTTTAAATGAGAGACTCAGCAGGTAGCCACTGTCCTCACTTTGTAAATATCTTCATCTTGTACAAGAGGATGGCACAGAAATTTGAGTGCTACATGCTCTCACATTTCGAGGGTTGGCCTGTGTACAATCTAAGGGAGGAAAAGAGGCTTGCTCTTCCCCTCTTTTGCTCTGGCTGCTTTTTCTAGGTGCTGCCTTGAAGTGCTGTGCCTTTGCCATGCCACCCTGCCTTGGAGCTGGCTGGTTATGGACTGAAAACTCCACAAACAATGAGCTAAATAAACCTTCCCTTCCTTCATTTTGGGTAACAAATGTTTTGTCCCAGCAATGAGAGAAAAGTAGCCAAGACAACTATATACTTATATCCAGTTGCAAATTAAAAGTTCCTAAAGGTAGAGTCTTGTGTTGCCTCTTTGAAAAGCTAACACTTATTAATACTACAATTAGCCAGAAACTATTTCAAACACTACATATATACACTCAATTCTCACAAGTACATGAGGCAGGTGTCATTTATTATCTCTATTTTACAGATGAGGAAACTAAGGCACACTACGTCAAATAACTTACTCGAGAATATACAGCTGGTGAGTGACTGAGCTGGTTTAAGGGTCCAGAGCCCCTGTTTTTAACTACTATACTGCACATTTTCTCACATAATGCCAGGAATACTGTTGTTGAACTCAAGGGGTGAAAATACACCTAAATTGATGAATGCAACATCACGCATTCTCTATTTCCATCACCAAGTAAATGAGTGTCTTGTATAGGCAGGAGGAGAAAAACATTATTAAAATATAGTCCTTGCGTTCAACAAAGTTAGGAGTTCTCCCCATTGGCTGTCAGTAGGTATATTTTATTTCTGTTAGTTCTTCATGACAAATTTTAACTATTATTCATATTTAATGCAATCATTAAATTTTAGCACCCAATACTATTTTGTTGTTTAAGATCACCTTGGATCACCAAAGACAGCAAATCACCTTATCATGCTTTGCTTATTCTGTTTTGGCTGCAGCCATATTTGAGGAAAATGTGGGGAGAACTGTTCTGTGTTAGAAAATGACAGCACCGTGTTAGAAAATGACTAAATACCCTGTAATTCGTCCGTCCTCTTGAATGGTGTCACACTGTCTTGACTTGTTTGATGCTATACTATACGAAGCTATACTCAAATATTTCAAGGACACACTATGGTAACTACTGTTAAGTCGGGTTATCTTGTGGTGAAACACTATGTTGCTTAAATTGTTCTGTACTAACCTGTGTTGTTATGTCCCCTTTTATCTCAATGTCCCCCCTTTTTAAAAAATTTATTTTTTTATTATTTTTTTAATTAAGGGAAAAATAAATTTAAAAATTAGCAGGATATATTATAGTAACTTTTTTGGTTTCCTATTAACTCAGTTTGAAGCCTGTATTGCTTTCACCATCTTGTTTTGACTGATTTTACTCTATTCTGTTCTGTTTGATAGTAGCAAGTTTGAGGGTATAGGCTACTTTAAAGGCAGTAAGATTCACTATAACGCCCATTCTGGTTTGACTGTTATCTTCTTTTGAAGTCCTGCAATGTCTCCAATTTTTATTGGTTTTGTTCTGTACTGTTTTGTTCAATTTTATTATACCTGATGATATAGGCAATTCTTTTTAAGGTAGCAAGAGGCATTATGGTAACCACTGTTGATTATTTTGTATTCTGTTTTTACATCATGTACTATGTCCATCCTTTGTTTTGACTGACTGCTTTGTTTGTCACATTTGGTTTTATTCTCTTCCAAAAAAAAGTAGTAAGAACTGTGGGAGTAATAAAACCCAAAATGTGTAATTATTATTGTAAAAAAGAGAGGGAAAGAAAGTGCTGTAAAGGACACAACTGTAAGTGTGTTTAGGTGTGTAAGATAGATGACTATATTACTAAGTTTTTGTTGGATTATTGAACTTCTTAGAACTGCTTACAGTCTCACTGTTTGAATGTCCACTTTGTATGCTTTAATTTTGTAACTTGAACAACTATTTCTAAGATAACAATATGTAATCTATTAACTAGTGATTTCTTACTGTTTATTTTTTTGAAATTCTGTATTACTTGTACCCTTTTACTGTTTTATTCTCCTTAAATAAAATTTAAAAAAAGAAAGAAAATGACAGCACCAATAGGCCAAAACTGAAAAGCATCTGTACCGAAACAGTGAGAACTATACTGCATTGCTATTGTCTAGACTCTTCCCTCAGTCTATATATCATTAAATACATAAATGTTACATAGTAGTAAATATTAATAAAGAAGTTTTAATTCCAGCAAATAAATCTGGTACATCAGACATACTCAGACTCAGCTACTACTACATTCCCAATACTGTAAAAGATTAGTTGAATTAGATACTGTTGGCAGTATCTAATACTACTTTCAAGTAAACAAAGTACTTTTAGAAATACTGAAATAATAAATAATACTGATAATAAATAATGCTACTTTCAAGTAAACAAAGTACTTTTAGAAATATTGAAATAATTAATAGGTGGTGGTACATGCCCACAATCTCAGCTACTCTGGAGGCCAAAATGGAAGGATCACTTTAGCCAGAAATTCAGGACCACCTTGGTCCCACAGCAAGACCCCATCTCCAAAAATAATAAATATAAAAATGTTTAAATTGTCAATATAGAATTACTCAGCTGGTAGAATTTAGTTTTGGTTATTTAAACTGACACTTAAACTGTAATTATCAAGACCACTAAGCAAATAGGCATTTCATGTATTCAAATCCAAAATATTTCAATAGATTAAATATAGAACACTATCCTAGGCTATCTAAATTAGCTATTTGGTTTTAGCAAAAAACAACTGTTTGCAATTTAAGATTGATGATAATATAACTAAGTACTATTTTCACTTTTCATATATATTCAATATGTATATTTGTAGCCTGAAAACATAGGAGTCATAGAGTATAAAGAAGCTATTTATACCCAGTTTTATGCTCACATACATTCTGCTATAGCTTGCCTAAAAGTCCCCACAAAGCCTGATGCGGTTATGTAGGCAAGTGAGGCTAGCACCTGTGATTGGTTTGCTGTCTAGGGCTGGGATTGGCCATGTGAGTGCTGTACCTGTCCAGGGGCAGGGAGCCAGCATACAATATAAGAGAGGGAAGGAGGTGTGCCTTTCCCCCTTTTGCCTTTTCGCTCTTGTTGCCTGCAGCTGCCGTGAACAGCTGTCCCTCAGCCATGCCATCCCACCTTGAAGCCAGCTGAGTATGGACTGAAACCTCCAAAAACTGTAAGAAAATAAACCTTTCCTTCCTTCATTTTGAGCATCAGGTATTTTATCTCAACAATGAGAAAAAAATAGCAAAGACAGAATTTGGTACCAGGCCTGGAGTTGTTGCTGTGACTGTACCCGGCCATGTGGTTCAAAAGCCTTTGGGAATGGCTTGTGGAAAGAGTTTGGAAAGGTTCAGAGATGTCACCTGAATGTATAGGCTGAAATGCCTTAGGCTGTTCTGCATGGGAGATTCTGGTCAGAGCTCAGGAGACCAGAAGGCTGATAGAAAGCCTGTTGGTAAAGCCAGGCTCAAGAGTTTCTGCTGGAAAGGACTGCATTGGTTGTTGGACTCCAGCTGATGTGTGTTATGGCTTGGCAGATAGTTTATCTGCATTTTGCTTATAGCCAGAGACTTTGCCTGAGACTAAGATTAAGGATGATGGACTAATTAATCTGGCAGAAGAAATTTTCAAGGCAGCTGAATGTTGAGGCAGTGACATGGCTATTGTTGGGGGCTTTTAGCAAAATTTATGTTGTAAATCAAGAGCATGATGGTGGTGATGATTTAAAATGTTATGAGTTTATCCAGGAAAGAAGCTCCAGTAAAGCTGTGGACTGCAAAGATAGAGCTGAGACCTCAACTGCTGAAAAGGAACAGGAAAATAAAAAAGATGGCCTGGGGGATCACAGGAAGAAGCAGCAGGTCTCCAACCTTTGCAGTGTCAAACCTGAAAAAGTGAAAGATTCTGCTTGGAGGGAAAAGCCTCAGAGCACCATGCTCCAGAATGGTTGCTAAGGCCACGTGAGGTTCCAAAATGGCAGTGGCCACACCAGGTTCCAGGATGGTGGTGACATAGAAAGTCTGTTCCTCACAATATGGTTGAGAGTGCTCAGTGATCCAAGCACTTGACTCCTGTAGCCAAGACAGAAGAAAGCCTCACTACTACTCCAGCTGGCAGCAGACCTTGGCAGCATCCATGTGGTGCTGGTTTTATATGCATGGAAAATGCATAAAATCTGAGGTTAAGACAGCTTCTATCCCAGTTTCAGAGAACCCGGGAGGCCAAGCAGTGTGCCCCAGAGAGGGCAGGGTTTGAAGCTGTGAGTGTGAAGCCAAAGGTACAATGGAGAACCCAGAATTTTAAAAAAGTTGGGAGTATGGATTGTCTAAGGAAACACGCAAGGAGGGAGCAGACTGGGCCTAAGAGAGAAGCTAAGAGAGCTTAAACCCATGAAAGTGAAATGGAGGGAGTCACTCGAGCCTGCCGGAGCTCACAACCAGATTACTTCAAATACTGAGCACAGAACTCCAGGACTTACTGTTTGCCCTGCTGTATTTGGGACTTCCTTTGGTCCCATTCTTTTGCATTCCCTTGTTTATATCCTTTCGAATGGTAATGATTATCTTGTGTGATTAAATGTTAGAAATGTTTAACTTTGTTTTTCATTTGTACAGGGGGTTATAGCTAAGAGTTTGCCTTAGATCTTGGAGGTGACTTGGAACCTGGACTTGTCAGCAATGCTGAAGCTGTTGGGACTTTGGCAACTTTGGGAGATGGACTAAAAGTCTTTTGCATAAATGAGATACGTGAGTCTTTGGGCAGCAAGGGGTGGAATATTATGGCTTAAGTGTCCCCTCAAAGCCTCACACAGTCATGGAGATGAATGAGTCTAGCATTTTTGATTGGTTTGTTGTCTAGCACTAGGATTGGCCATGTGAGTGTTGCACCCACCCAGGGCATGGGGAGCCAGCATACAATAGAAGAGAGAGAAGGAGGCATGCTTTCCCTTCCTTTTTCCCTTTTTCTCTTGTTGCTTGTGGCAGCCATGAACAGCCTTGCCACAGCCTTGCCACCCCAACTTGGATCCAGTTGAGTATAGACTGAAACTTCCAAAAACTGTAAGATAAATAAACCTTTCCTTCCTTCATTTTGGGCATCAGGTATTTTGTCTCAAAAACAAGGAAAAAGTAACCAAGATACATTCAAAAAGGATTATAATAAAAGTAATCCAACTCAATATTATGGATTTGTAAAAAAATTATTTTCTTTAAGTGAAGTCCATGTTCAATGGTCTAATGAAAAAAAAAGCACTACAATATAAAATGGGGCAGGGTCACCCCTAGGGATAGAGGAACCACAAGTGCTACCAGGGCCTATTCAATTGAGATTCAATCCTTCCAGTGTAGAGCGAGCTCTCTAGAGTGCATCTCTTCCTGAGTAGGAGAACAGACTCCTGGTGGCTTGTGCACACAGAACCATGGGACTTGGAGATCCGACATGAGAAGTAAATCTCTCTGTGGACACATGGGCAGTGGGGAGAGAGGCTGCATTTCCGTTTGCTTAAGTAATAGGCACGGGCCCACCACACATCAAATTTAACCTTTTCCCTATCCAATTGCTATTGTGGTCTACACTAAGAGAAAGAAAGGACAGCAATATTTAGGTTACCAAAAAGCTTCCTGCCACAACCCTAGAATTTGCTTCCCAAGATGCCTGCTGCTGATGCCTTGTGCCCTTGGTTCTGCACATTCACCACTTCTGGCCAAGCTTTGGGCTGGAGTAAAATTATTATGTCCTTTTACAAATTAGAGTTTCATATGGAAATACTGACATGGTTTTTAACAGAAACGTACTTTCCAGCCATAAGACACACAAACTGCTTAGCTCAGTGTTATTTTAAAAAATTTGTCCAAAGATATCTGCCATCACTCACACTGGAGGTTTAAATATATATGTGTGGAGAAAGAAATGTGTCCTTCTGCCCTGGTTTGCAATATTAAAAAGAGACAATATTTAAAAAGCCAAAAGCAATTTCTTTCCTTTTGCTAACATCAACTATGATTCTTTTTAAGCATAATGTGTAAAAAGAATGCCTTGCAGGTGAGGAAAGTACATTTTCTACAGCTATTCACACCCAATAAAAAATATAAAGTGCATATATTGTAAGACATTCATAGTTTTTTTTTTTTTTTTTTTTTTTTTTTTTGGTTTGGTACTTTGGTAGGATTGAACTCACCACCTCACACTTGCCACACAGGCACTTATGCCACTGAACTAAATTCCCCAGCCCCTAACCATTCATAAATTTTCAGACATCAAATTTCTGCTTTTCATTATGGAAAATAATGAAAACACACATCGTCTTTCTGTGGTTGTGAGTTGGGGGTCACAGGCGCAGCTGGGAGTACTTTTAAAAGTAATCTGGATCATCAAGTCATCACGTGCCTTTTCCCAATTATTTTTTGCCTAGCCAAAATAAGCCCAAAAATTAGACAATTAAAAAAGAGGTGAGAAGAAAAGAAATAGTGTGCTACTTTATCTCTAAAACCCATAGGTCCTTGATTTGGGGGCGTCATCTTACCTGTGTGTGTGCAGTACAAGCAAATCGTCTATAATAGCCATAGTCACAAGATGTGTCCTCGAGACAGAAGCTTGCTTTGTGACCTTCAGCCACTCTGCTCTGTGTGTTGGCATCCAGCAGGTCATAGTGACTGAACTCATCCATGCTGTGGTAATGCCTGACATCCCCGACAACAAAGAGATGATCAGCGGTCAATTAAAAACACAGAAAGCAATCAAGAGAGGGAGTGGTTTCTATGTTGTCTCACAAAATTTTGTTCACACTAAAACTGAGATCAAAGCTGGGCGTGGTGGCACACACTTGTAATCCCAGCACTCAAGAGGCTGAGACAGGAGGATTGCTGCAAGTTCAAGACCAGCATGGGCTACAAAGTGAGCTCAAAACTAGCCTGAACTGCACAGCGAGACCTTGTCTCAAAAAAGACATAAATAAATAAAATAAATAAAAATGAGGTCAAGTTTATCTTCTTAAAGAGATTCATGCTAGGCTAGGCCTTTTTTTTTCTCCTAGAGCCAGAAATCTATCAAAACTGTAAAGCTTCTGATTCTGCTTCTAGGAAAAAGACTTATATGTGGTGTTCATTAAGTGTTATTTTATGCTAATTAACCGTAGATTAGTTTTGACTGTAATAGATATTTCTAGAAATTCTACCAAATTTTATTGAAATTCACTGTCTCTGCTTAACAGTTTTAATAGGTCAGACTTAGAATTTTTAGTTCAAAAAGAAGGAATTTAGTAACTGATGGATTAAAAATGATTCCTTTGATTATGTCCAATAACACAGAAAAATTCTAAGTGCAAAGAATGGCTAATATCTCCCTGACATTTATTATATCGATGATTACCTGAAAAGTGAAAGAAATGAAGAAATACTGAGAAAGTCATGCACTCACTGGTGACAACTGTGCCATTCCCAGGAATAGCGTGGGCGACTCGGTAAGAAGTCCGACGTTCCCTGGTTCTTCACTCGCTGGGGAAATCTTAAGAGTACCCTGTAATCATAGTCTCTCACATCTCCCCTGTATGCTGAACTGTGATTTTGAAAGAGAGAAATGTTATTATATTCATGAAATATTAACTAAAAACAAATCTACAAACAAACATCCCCATTATGTAGTAGTGACATCCCCTTCCCAACTAGATGACTGGTTTCCCAGGCTAGGGGGTTTAGTTTGCTTATGGCTGAGTTCCAAGCTCCTGAATTCCAAGTTCTAGCCCTGAAGTAGCCAGAACATTTGGTAAATGAGTGAATTAATGACAGCAAAGAAAATTCACACAATTTTAAAATAAAAACAATAAAAATCACATTAAAAATATATGGGAGAAACAAACTTTGTATCTAAAAAACCAATTCAAGACTAGCCATGTAAATGAGCAAAACCAAGGTAAAAATTGTCCCAAAGAAAAAATAACCCATAGATACTAAGAACTTTGAGTTTAATAAAATATTTCTTCTTAAACAGATCATTATGGTGTAAAAATTGAGAAACTGATTCTAAAAGAACATGCTCAGACATACATAAATGATTCTGTAACTTTGATATCTTCAAAACAAAGTCATTAATGATACTACAGGGAGTTCATGGTGTGAGTGAAGCAGGACATAAGCATGAAAATGAGCTTGAATTTTTTTCTCTTCCCTCAGCCTGATCATCTCAAAGGGCAACGTGGAAGAAACATAAAATAAGCACTGTGTTCCTACTGCTACGCTTCCTGAGTGTGGAGTATTATAGGCGATCTTACTGTATAGTTAGTGTATTTATAGCAATGATGAAACCATCTTTTGCTCCCTCTGCTGGTTTCCCGCAGCAAACTCAGGGAACCCCGATTCCAGAATAGCTATTTTGTTTAAGGACTGATAGGAAAACAAAGTGGTTTTTCTGATCTTAGTCCGGCTGAAGTAATACCAAAATATCCCAGTCAAGCCCGGCAACGGTCTAAAACAAAGAGGTCTGCAGTCTGTACCAGAAAGATGTGCCACAGTGGCAGTGTGCCCCGACCCGTGGAAGCGTATTCACAGGCTCTTCCATTACATTTTTTCTACATTCCTGGGCAGTCGTTTTATAGAAAGTTGGCCCTAAAGTTTAAGAATTTTGGAAAAAGCACCAGCGACTCCTAGTCTCCAGGACAAGGATTTGCTCCACTTCCCACTCTTGGGCCTGGATTTGAAGACATCCCCTCTCCAACTAGATGCCTGGTGTCACAGGCTGGGGGGTTTAGTTTGTTTATGGCTGAATTCCAACCTCCTAGAATGGCCCTGCAGTAGCCAGAACATTTGGTGAATGAGTGAATTCACCAAATACACAGCAGCACGCCCCAGCGGTCCCGTCCGCTCCCCGCCACAGCGGCCAGCACCGCGCGGGGACCCAGACCCGAGCGAGGGAGGGGCCGCGGGACCCCGGCCCACCTGGCCAGGCAGTTTTCCTCCGCAGCACATCGCAGGTTGTACATGGCCATCTTCTGCACGTAGGTGGACGCCTGGATGTAGTAAGGGTCGGGCACCAGGTCCGGGAGACCTAGGTGACATCGGGCGGCAAGGGCAGCGGTCAGCGCACGCGGTGGCGCCTGCGCCCGCTCCGGGCTCCCCCAGATGTCCTGCGTGACCCCTTCTTCCACTGGGGCGTGCGGGTGGTGAGGGCACCCCAGCTGCAGGGCAACGCGGACAGGCAGCGCCGGCGAGGCGCGCGGTCCGCGCTGGGTCCGGATCGGTACCGGGCGGGAGGGTCGGGCCGCCGCGTCTCCCGGAGCCCTGTCCACCCGCGGGCAGCGCCCACCCCACCCGCTTACCGTACTGGAAGTAGCCGGTGCCGTAGCCGGGGCGCTGCCTGCCCGCGGGCCGGGGCCGCTCGTAGGTGTCGTAGTAATTGTAGTACGGGTTGTCGTCGGGGTACTTGTAGGGGTTGTACGGGTCGTCGCCCACCATGCGGTCCACGTGGCGCGGCGTTGGCGGCGGCGGCGGCGGCGGGGTGCGGGGCTCGGAGGTCCCGGCCGGGCCGGGCCCGGTGCGGTTCCCCGCGTGCAAGGCGCCGGCATCGCGGGCCGCCGCGGACCCAGCTCGGAACCGGTTGCGGTCGCGCACAACCAGAACTGGCAGGCGCGGGTGCCGGGCGGCGGCGCTGGGGTCGCCGGGGTCGCGGCGCCGCTGCGGCTGGTAGCGCTCGCCCAGGCTCAGCAGGCTGAACACCTGCCCGTTGTTCTCCCACCTCAGGCGCTGGCGCCAGGAGCCGGGGCCCGCGGGCCCGCGCGGGGGCTGCGGGGCGCCACGCAGGAGGGAGCAGAGCTGCAGCTGCCCCAGCAGGAGCGCGGCCCAGGCGGCGCGCATCGCTCCGGCCGGGTGCCCGGGGCAGGGGCGGCCGCGGGGGGCGGTGGCGCCTCGGGGGGCCTGAAGGCGGGAGAGGGTCCGGGAGCTGGGGGCGCGGGGTCCCCGGCCCCGGGCTCGCGTGGGTGCCGAGCCTGCTGGCGAGGCGCCCTCGGACGTGGCACCGGCTCCCCGGGTCCGGATCCCGAAAGGCGCTGGACGGCGCGGCCGGCGGGCGGGCAGCGTCTGGGGTGCGGGAAGGAGGGACTTTAAACGCGCTGGCGCGTTTGTAAAGTTACACAAGCCCTCTGGCCCGGCCGCCCCTCCGCTATTTGTTCGCGTAATGCGATTGGAAACGTGCGCGCGAGAGCCTGGCCTGGCCCCGCCCTGGGCGCCCTCCCCGCCCGGCCGGCCGGCCCCCCGCTTTCCCCCCTTTCTCTCCCTGCCTCCCCCTCCCGCCCGGGTTCCCACCCCCCCCCCTCCGCCCGCCTCTTCCCGCAGACACGTTGCACGGGGCGCTTTAAGGGGAAAGAACGAAGGGAACACGCACCCAGAGACGCGCTCGGCTTAATCTGGGGCGAACATGCAGGAATTTCGAAAGGCGCAGACAGCCAAGGCAGCCAGGCCCGTGGGCCGACGCCAAAATATGCATGAAGAAAAATGCTATTAGGTCACCAGCCCTAGCAAGGCCGGCAGGAGGAACGCGGGAGGCAGGGGTTTCTGGGGCGAGCATGTGTGCTGGGGAGGGGTGGTGACTAAGTTTACCCCTAAAGGAGTGAATCCCCCAGATTTCCCCAGGGCTCACTCGTGCACTTCCATGGGCAGTGCCCTCAGCAAATAAACTCCAGGATATCAAATTTTGTTTTTCTGACTATAGGTAATATAAGAAACGGGTTACAAATCTGTCTCCTACAGTGAATATTTTAATAACCAAAAGTGAAATTTTACAGGAACAAAGCTTGCTAACCCTGAAGCAATGAACAAACCTGTCTCTTTCAAAAGGCTGTGGCCTATTTGTGCTCTGAGAGAAAAGGAGCCATCTCCACCATGTACCAGCGAACTGAACTTTGGTCTGCCTAAAAGAACTCAGAAGGAGTCCTTAGAAGTTTTATCTGACTTTTTTCCCTTTTGCTCTACGCCTAAAGACGAGGTTTGGGTTTGAGTTTTACAAATTTAAATCACCATTGTCAAATATTAAAAATAAAGGCTCCCATGGTGTTTCATTCATCTTTTCATCTAAAGAAATGGGTTTTTAAAGAAACAGACTTGGAGTCCGAATATGGCAAAAAGAAAAAAAAAAAGTAGTAGTGGTCAGAAGGAATGTGGTAGGTGGGTAAATTATGGTGCTTTGAAAGAGATGTTTAACGGACCATTTACTTACACCTGATGTAGAATTGGGCAGTGTGGGAAGCCGTCCAAAGAAAGACGGCTCCTAAATGCCTCATTTGAGACCGTTATACAGAACTAGATCTAGATCACTTTTTATTGTAGATCACTTTTTATTGGTCCCATCATTGAGCTGTCTTGCTGTTTGTCAATATTCATTTATCTCCATTTGTCTCTCTTTCCACGGTTAATCACCACTCTTCAGTGTTGCAGTGGAAATCAACTGCTTTCACTTCAGATCCATTTCCCTTTTCTTTCTGTGAGGCACAACAGTTGATTCTTTGGAAAACACCTCCCCAGAGGCATTCTGGAACTGACTGAGCATTTGTGAGTCTTCCTTTCTGCAGGCAGTTATCATGAGATCCTGATTTGGCTAATCAAATTGACTTCCTAGACTTTGAATCTCAAATAGAAAAACACATGGTCAAAAATAGTGCTTCTCCCACTACTAAAAAAAAAGGGCCCTTAGGTTCTGGTACTGTGAGATCCCTTGAGCTGTCTTAGTTTACTACATTCCAAGACCTGGTACTTCAGTTTTCCCTTCAATTTTTCCAATGCATTTTTTGAGGCTTTACATAGATTCCTTTTCTGGTTTCGGCCACCTAAGAACACTGACACAGTAAGGAGGTAGTGGCTGTTTTTCTCAGCTAATGAAGTCACAGAGTTCTGAGTCAGGGTGATGGTTTGGTCTCCTTTGAGTCATATTAGATTTGCTCTGCCTGTGACCACCCAGCATGCGTGGTCACAAAGGGAAATTAGAGAGAACCTTGCCAATAGCAAATCTATTGCTTGCTGAGGAAATAAAACTTCAAATGCAAATTCACTAATGGCACGTCAACAATGAATTTCTTCTGAGTAAAAGCCAGTAATATCGCTGTCGTTTTACACTTTCTGCAGTTATTAACTCAGTTTTTCAAAATTCACTAAAGGTGAAATAAGAATTTGCTGTATGTCATTTTGATAGACATGAAATTACAAAATAAGCAGGAAGAGATAGAGTGTAATTGTCTCTTAGCTGAGGAAGGCTCTGCAGTATGTCAAGGAACAGCTTATTCTTCCAAAGAGAAAAGCCTGCACCTGCTGTTTTTTTTTTTAATTTTATTTAAGGAGAAAAGAAAAAAAAAGCAGGGAAAGGGTACAAGTTATACAGATTTACAGAAAAAAAATGAACAGTAGGAAATAACTAGTTAATGGATTACATATTGTCATCTTAGAAATAATTGTTCAAGTCACAAAATTAAAGCTTGTAAAGTGGACATTCCATCAATGATACTGCAAACAGTTCTGTTCATTGATCCAATAAAACTCTGTGATATCATTTTCTATCTTATACATTTAAATATACATGCAGTTATATAGTTTGGAGCACTTTCTTTTCCTCTCTTTTGTACCATGACTATTACACATTTTGGGTTTCATTGCTCCCACGGTTCTTATTACTTTTTTGGAAGAGAGTAAAACCAAATGTGACATAACAGAACAGAATCGGTCAAGTCAAAAAGGTGGACATAATAGATAATGTAAAAACATAATACAAGGTGATCAACAATGGTTACCATAATGCCTCCCGCTATCTCTAATAGAATTGCCTATATCATTAGTTATAATACAATTGAACAAAACAGTAAAGAATAAAACCGACAAAACCAAAACATTGGAGACATTGTAGGTCTTCAAAAGTAGATAAAAGTCAACAAGAATGGGCGTCATAATGAATCTCATTATCTTCACAGCTGATGCCTAAACTTTTGAACCTGATACTATCCAGCAAAACAGAATAGGGGAACATCAGTCAAAAACCAGATGGTGAGAGTAATACAGGGCTTTAAATCAAGGTAATGAAAAGTCAAAGTGGGTTACTATAATATATCCTGCTATTTTTTTCCTTTAATTAAAAGGATAAAGATAAAAAAGTAAATAATGGAGTGGAGATTGAGATAAAAGAGGGCATAACAACGAAACAGCGCAGATCAAAACATAACCATTTAAGCAGAGTAGTGTTTCACCACCAGATAATCCTAACCTAAAAGTAGTTACCATATTGTCTCTTTCTTTGAAATCCTTGAGTACAACTTCATATACTGTAGCATTAAGTATATCAAAACAATGTAAAACCATTCAAGAGAATGACAGCATTACAGAGTATTTAGAATCGACTAACAGAAAATGAACAATGGTTTCTGTATAATCTCCTTGTCTTTAAAAGGTTTTTGCTTATACTATCGTACATAATAAAATCCAATAAGATACAGCCTATTTAGACCATTGGAGACAGAAGGACCAAAGCTAGATGAGACTTCAAACCAAGATGATACTAAATCAGTATTACCTATTAAGATGTCATTTTCTCCAAAATAGCTGTTCCTATCATCCAATCTTCTCTGCCTCATTTCTGTTGAGCTCTTTTTCTGTCAGTAGCTGCTGTTAATTGGCCATAGGTTGCTGAGGGAAGGCCTCTGCCCTGACGGTGCAGACCGAAGCAGCCTAGAGATGGAACATAGAAAGCTTATGCTGGACTGCGGATAAAACAACCCTGTTCCCTATCTGATGTGCTCATTTTCAAAAGGTACATGTACAGCCGATGTACTACCTCTGAGTCTTAGTTATTCAACCCAAATAATTTCTATAGTATTTTCCTGGTTTAAAATATCTGCTTTTTATATCTATTCAGAGTATTCCCACTACTGTCAAGTCATTTACCATAATGTATCAGTATGATTATTAGGACTGCTAATACTTAATCAAATAATTCCTTTGTTGCACTTTAAAATGTTGGATACATTTTCTGCGTGTAAGTTGGAGCCTGCAGATTACAATTTTCTTTTTCTACAGATTTCCCATTGGTGAAATCATATATTCACTTGTGTTATGAACATTTTTTGATCACATTCACAAAAAAAGCACTAAAATTTTACAGCTGAATGAGATTGATCTTTTTTCATATTTGCTTCAATAGTCAATGTTTTTTAAAATATAAATTGGCTAGAACAGTAATGTTATATACTATTTATTTTCTTTTACACACACACACACACACACACACACACACACATACACACACACACACACACACACACACACACACCCTACAATCCCTAGGAGGAAAAACACATAACCTATTGTCACATAGCAATGAAAAGCTTAGATGATTTTTCTCTCATTTCCTCTAAATTATCTCTAGCTTACAACTCAGTCAGCTGAAAAGAAACATATGTCCACCACACTGGGAACAATAGACAGTGTTCACAAGCCCTGTGGGAGACAATCTAGCCACATGTGGTGTTTTCTCTTTAATGACAAACTATTAGTTACAAGACTGTACAAACTATACTTCCTTCTGAAATTAATAATGAATTCATCATGGTAGTGATGATGATAGCTATAAACATATAACAGATTCCTCTAGCTTTTTGATGTTGATAAGATGCATGGTTGACTCATTTTGGATCACGAAACCTCCTTTTTATGAACATTTCTGCAGTGTATCCTATAAAAAAGAGATGATTCCAAATTTTTTTTTAAGTTCTAGCTTATCAGTATCGGAGCTTTAAACTGCACTGTCTGGCCCACTGATCAGAAAGTAAAAATTGTCTTAAGACTGTATTCCTAGAATTTCTTAAATGAACTTCTGTGATTAATTCACGTAAGTAGAAAATAGAGCTACGCAGAAAGCCTAAACTCTAAAGCAGGGACTCTGAGTTATCAAAGCCAGAACAATAGTGCTGTAGTCAAAGGCTTAGGTTTGAGGTGTAGAGAGCACATATAAATTTTGTTCTTTGAGAAAGACTAATTCTTGTACATGCTTTTATGCCATCGTGTAATTCTAACACATCACCACGAATAAAATAAAGTGGAACGTTGCAGATGTTCAAGGGACCTTAGAAAAAAGTCAAGTGTGACATCTAACACAAAGAGGGATGAGCTGGGAGCTGAGCAAGAACATGGAGCACAGTCTTGAAAGTAA